CCCGCCGCGCCCGCTTCCAAGGGGAGACCTTCCTCTAAATGCAGCACAGCCACGTGAAAAGGCACCCGCGTGTATATACACCCATATGCATAACTAGATGCACTGATACGTAGCTATGCGTAAAATGTTACATGTTCAAACACCGAAGGACTTTCTAGCAACAACATTCTTCACACAGGAAATTTCGGGAGAGCATTTTCTTCTGAGTTATGTTACTGCACCGTTGACTTCTATGATGAGCTTCGGTTTTAATGCTGTTCTTGCCTTTTCTTCTTCTTCAAATGCAAAGTAGTTCAGAGATGAACTTGTAACGCCCCACGTCATTTTTGCACTTGTCATTTCACAGACAGCCAAATGCCCAAATTTCCAATGAATTTCCACAACTTCTGGCATCCAGTTCAATGTGCTGTTACGAAGTGGGCTTCAGCAAGTAGTAGTGAGAAGAAAAAGTATTCAGGAACAAGTCTCTGGGAAGAAGAGAGCCGGGATATGAACAGGGAGAGAGATGCACGCAAGAATGTGGCTCCAGCTACACCCCAATGCTAGCCGATAACTGCGGGTAGAATCTTCCCTTGGGTCTAAACTGAACTAAGCACTGACTGGAAGTAACATTATACTGTCATATAAAAACTCCCACTTTTTAAAACAGTGGTGAAAGGAGCTAAACAACCAGGAAAGATGACCCTTCTATGCTTTACTGCATTACCAGAACAGCACAGGTCTAGAGGGCAGATCTTTTCACAAGTTGCAACAGCATGGAGATGATGGCATTAAACTATGTACAAAATTGCACAGAGGACTCCAAACTAGTTATCCTCAGAGTAGAAGAGAATTAGGACTGGGTCTTAAGTACTTTCCAGAGATCAGTTTTGCTTGTCCCTTACAATGACACCAGTCGGATTAAAACAGAAACAGTGAAGCCATGCCCAGATAAGTCTCTAGCTAGACAGAGATAGTGTATTCTTAGTATATTCACACACATACATGTAAATACATATATCCTGATCCATGACTGAAAGGGAAACCATTAAGTGTCATTCCAACATGCTTAAAGAATTGTGGCTAGGAAGTCACAGCTGAAGGATTTTGGCTAATCACCAAGTGAACAATGTCAAACACTGAATGTCTGGACAGTTTCCATTCAAATAACATTTCATCGTGGGCCAACTGTATTTACAAACCACTGGAACGAAATTCCATACTGTCATTTTTCCATTAGTAAGAGACAGCCTTACAGCTGGGTAAGATGCAGGCTCACTTCTGCATGGAGCTCTCCCAGCTCTCCCAGTGGCAGTAGCTCTCGCTGAGCCTCGCATGCCCATTCTGCAGGTCTCCCCTGCTCACCTCTGCGCATTTTAGATGGCATTGCCGAATTCAGAGAGGGATTCTGCAGGTATGTGGGCGTATAGCGGGGTAATCTCTGACTGGTTACCTAAAATTTGAGGAGCCATTTTACATTTAAAGCTTTACTGCATGTTTCAGATGAGAAAGGCAGATGTTTGTCCCTACTTGACTTAACGTGTATCTAAACCTTCCCTTGCTCTCCGATCTCAGGCAGTGATGGTAAGGAATGGAGAAGCTGTAAAATAATCCCATAGAGCTACACAACAAGAAGAGGATACAGCATATCCTCGCATCTTAGTCTTACTCCTCGCTTTCTGCCTTCTCTTTACCTCCTCTGAATCTCTCTCCCTTTATCTGACCTACTCCTCCTTGGATGGCCATCTGTTCTCAGAACAAAGCCGCTGCCCCTGCACCTACTCCCCCATTGTGACCTACTCCCACAGAGCCCATCGAGGCACCAAAAACTCCCAGCTCTAGTTTTGAGTCTGGAATGGGCACAATTCCCTGCATTCGGCACCCTCAACAGCAAGAGCTATTGCCAGGTTTGTATAACGCCCCCAACACTAGTGTAGGAAAGCCTGGATTTTCTCTGCTAATATTTAAAAACAGAAAGTATTTTTGCTGTAACAAAGAGGGACAGATTATTTTCAGTAGCATTGTCAGCAGGATATCATAAAACAGAGTTTGGCCACATGCTTTTCAATACTTGTCCAGAAATTTCTCCATGTAAGGAGGCATACAGGTCAGTATGACATTGCATCATGAAAGTCTCAAGCAAGGTTGCTTTTGAAGACATCATTGGGATTCGTCTAACCACAGGTGAATTTCAGCTGCATAGCCCAGTAGATGAAGCAGTTCCACACAGAAAAAAAATCTATCTGTTTTAGGCTTGTGTGTACATACAAGTTCAATTCAATGTCATACCTGCATTGGTTTGTAAAGCAAAGAGAAGGAATAGAATCACAGAATCACAGAATGGTTTGGGTTGGAAGGGACCTTTGAAGATCACCTAGTCCAACCCCCCCCCTCCATGGGCAGGGACCTCTTTCACTAGATCAGGTTACTCAAAGCGTCATCCAGCCTGACCTTGAATGCTTCCAATGATGAGGCATCCACAACTTCCCTGGGCAACCTGTTCCAGTGTCTCACCACACTCAGCATAAAGAATCTCTTCCTTATGTCCAAGCATAAATGCATTATACAATATCATTTCCACAGCCAATACACAAAGTTTTAATGTTCCTAAGGGGACGGAAAGCTTTATTGGAGAGGTCTGTAGCAGTAACAAAATCCTCAACATCTTACCTTCATGAGTATTTAAAGCAATAAAGTACCTGAATACCTAATTTTGTAACGATGGTCTAAAGCTTTACTTGAGACTTGGAACACCACTTTTTAGTCTGAAGAGGGTCACATACCTGTGCTGGAGCTGACACTTTGTCATGGGATTCATGCTGCAATACCAAGAATCCCCTGGGGTATGGGTGTGGTGGGGGTTAAGGAAGGGGAGAGGGATTTTTGAAAGAGGTAGGTGCTGAGCATTGGCAGTGAAGGGGAGTAATATGATGGCTAATTTCCTCTCACCATATGCTCTGGGTCCCAGCCCAAAATAAATTTAGACCAGACAATAGTTAATGCTACCTGGCTTCAGCCACAGACGTCCCCAAACCAGTTGTGTTTTGGTGGAGTACATGGAGCTGTGCCCCTGGCTGTGGAAGACAGGCTATGAGTGTGTGAGATATTTATTCCAGCTCTAAAGCACCGGCACTCCCCATGGAGTTCTCGGCTCTTTGCTTAGAGTCAGACTGATGGGAGGTGCTAGTCCAGTGGCCGAATTTAGTAGTTTGATGAAGAGTTGGACACTTCCAAACACTAGTACTACTGTCCAGCTTCTAATGGGAGGTGCTAATCCAGGGCCGGTTTTACAGGCTATGGCAAAATGAGGGAGTCAGAAATTGCAACAGCCTGAGCAAATCTTCTAATGTGCCATCATTTTTATTTCAGGGAAAAAAAATAGGGAGGAGAAAAGAAAAAAGTCCAACAAAGACGAAAGCAAGGAGACAAGACAGGAAAGCAAAGGGCGAGCAGCCCGAAGACAAAACCGAGAACAGAGGGAAAACAACAACAAAACGCAGCCGAAGAAAAGAAAAGCCCCAAATAAAGAACAGAACCTGGCACCCGTCGACACTGCACATTAACAGCCCTCCATGATTGTTTATGTCTTATGATGCTGCTATCTCTACCAGATCGCCCTGACAGGTGCTCCAACTGTTCAGGCCGCAAGTGGACAATGCTACCAGTTATTATTAAACTTAAAACAACATTCCAAATACTTCCTATATTCTCCAAGCAACCATAGTTTATTAAAGAGATTGACATGAGCCAAGAAAAAAAAATCTAAAAATGGGATACTTTAAAACTGTTATATTATATGCTTCCATGCATCTGTAAAAGGCAATTAAGAAATTTTGTATATATAAATAATAGGGTATAAAATATAGCAATATAATAATGAATGACATTCAGATGAACAATGTTCTTTTTCTTTGTAAAATATTTTTCAAGTTATTGTTTAAGTATGAGGCAAGAGGTATGTCTAAATCTAAGACACAAATCGTATCCCTTCATATATTGTACATAAATATTAAGAGAAGGAGGAAAACGTTTCTGAAGAGCCAGTAGGAACCCAAGGTTTTAAAACCTCTGGTGGAGCAGGATGATCCCATCCTGCTCTGTAGTTCCCTGGTCCGTGCTCCAGATGCGGGTGAGAAACACCAGGGGAAAGCCGGCAGGGCTTCACAAGCTGAGAGAAAAGAAGCAGAAGCCTCTGCAGCTTTGAAGACTGAATCCCTGAGGCAGAAAGCCGCGGAGCCGAGCTTGAACAGTGCTCTTATCTGTGGGACAACACAATGTTTTCTGGTCTAAACCGTGGTACCGTGTGTGCTGTTTTATGCTTTTTATACCTATGTGTAACTTAAGTCTACATTTCAAATCTTCTGGTGAATGACAAATCATATTTGTAGGAGACAATGTTGAGTTAATAAAAAACAGAAAAATAGATCATGTAAGTATGTATTTTTCACAGTGATGGTGTCGCCTTTTCTACTGGGGGAGAGAATCATTTCATAGCTTCACAGACAGAAGAGGACACAACTTACATCCACTATGGGTATCTAGTGAAAGAGTATCCACAACGATAAATCTATTGAAGGGTAGAAAATACAAACTTCTGTCCAATTTTACTTAAATTCTTGTTCCAGTTCTTCTCTCTGACACAGCAGAGGTGAAAATCTCCACTGCTAAGAGGACAAACCAAACCCCTTTGCATCATTCTGGCTATATTAGTGGCTGGAGTGACCCACGAGTGAAGCACAGGCTATGCTATACGCTGACTCTCTGCTCAGAAATGGATTTACCCTTTACAGAAACACATTGAGGAACCAACATGCTTCATAGTATGTGTTTTGTTGCCGTGCTTTCCCCAAGGGCAGTTGTCACAGGGGTAACAGCCTGCCCAGCATGGTGCATGGACTAGAAAACGTGACAGGTGAGCCTTCCCAGCCAGTTCTCATCCCTATTCACTACTCCTGTTTCTCACAGTGACTTTGACCTTAAAAAAGACTCTGCCCAATTTGGATTTCCTCCAATTTTGGAGGAATATCCTAATCATCCAGAGAGCGGTAGGTCAGGCTGAGGAAGCCTGAGCGACAGGCTTCAGTGACTTTTGGAGGAATATCCTAATCATCCAGACAGCGATGTAGGATAGTTTTCTACATATTGCTTTGTAAGAGCTTTGTCTCTTAATGATACGTGTATAGATGCAGTAGTCTAATAACATGGGTGTTTAAGGCTCCCACAGCTTGCCTCCAACTTTCATGAGAATTAGTCAAAACTTTCTGTAACCAGTCCCCAATTATATGCATATATTATATTTTTGCTGGTGAGAGGACCTAAACGCTAAAGGCTGAATTTTACAGAGATGAGTATCATACGCATGTAACGCTCATCACGTGAATGGGTGAGAGAGAAAAGCAGTGTGTGCTGAATGCCTGTGAAAAGCACCTATCAGTGGGAAACTGGAGTGGGGGTGGCTATCTGTGGGCTCCCAGCTCCATCACATAACTTGTCTACACCCTCCTCCAGAGTGAGCTGGTCTCAGTCTCCCACTACCGATCCTGGCAGCAGCAGTCATCTTCTTCCACCAGCGTCTTCCCACTTTCTTGGCAGCAGCACCTGAGGAGAAGCTGGTCTCAGAGAAGTGGAGAGTGCAGGAACTGTGCTCAGCACTGAGGCTCTGGGTGATGCTGAAGGGGGGCAGAGAGAGGAACGGAGAAATCCTGCTGCTGCCAGACTCAGAGGTTGGCACCAAAAGATGAGGTGCAAGCAGCAGTTCTGGGCCAAGGGGTTGGTATCACCACAGAAAGCAGCATTCGGTGCTTCAAACCCTCTCCTGCAGCTGCAGTCACCTATCTGCTGGGGTGCTGGTGGGCAGACGGGGATGTTCAGCTGCTCGGGAAGAATTTACTGCTCCATTTATTTCCTCCAGGGACAGGTTGTAGGCCAGATGAAGGATCCCATGTTGGATTCAGCAAACTAGACCACCAGCTGGACCACATGGATAACTGAACCCAGGGGAGCTTTGTCTACAACTCTTAAAACTAACCAGTAGGATTGTGTCTTTTCCCTGCCTTAATTAAATATAGGAGTTAAACGGCAAGGGGTCTTCAGATAGGAGACAGCTCTTGAGAAATGCACAAGCAAAAACTATAAAAATGAACAAGAGCGTTCAGAGGGGAATTAAAAAGACGAAAAAGCAAAACAAGGAGCTAAACCCAGAATGTCCCCGATCTCAGTTATTCTCTACTACAACACTTGGAGGAGTCAAAGGAATGCTGTTTAACTGGCAAAGATAGACAGAAGACTGGAAAAGCAGTATCAAGTAGTTCAAGAGCTACAGATTGAAGGAAAAACAAGAGGGTGAAAGGAAAAGAAGAGAATTTAGGATACAAATGTGAGCTTTGTTATACAGTGCCACATAAACCTTTATTAGAAACTCCAGTGTGCCTCTCCCGGCTTATGCAAGTGGCAGTGACAAGAGAGATGGTTTGTCTTACCAAGAGCAGGACTTCGAATACTATCACCTTTCAGCAAGGGATAAAAACATAAAAGGAATTTGGCTTGTGGCAGTAATAATTCATAGCAATAGTACCTGAAAAAACATGATACAACTTTTCCTGGAAATGATCAAGGAAGCTGCCGTCATGTTGTTCCCTCCCACACAGGATAATGTTTGATAATATTTCCTGTAGCCATGGTGAAGCACTAAAAAGTACATCCAACTCATCTGGGCAACTAAAATTTTCTCCAGTCCTGGCACTGAATGTAGACTACCCTGATGGTAGGTGAACTACTCCATTGGGACTCCCAAGAAGCTAAAGAAGAATATGGATGGGATGCCATCCAGAGGGACCTGGGCAAGCTGGAGAAGTGGGCCCGTGTGAACCTCATGAGGTTTAACAAGGCCAAGGGCAAGGTCCTGCACCTGGGTCGGGGCAACCCCCGGTATCAAGACAGGCTGGGGGATGAAGGCATTG